GAGCCGCTCCACCGCGGCAGCCTTTCCTGCAGCGCGGAACCCCACGCGTGCTCCGGCAGCGCCGTGATGTGCCTTTATCTGCTCGGCGGGCAATTGAAGGAGCTGTCCGTCGCTGCATCCGCTTCGCTGGTTCTTTTCTCTGGCTTCTCTACCCAAGGTGGTCGCGGTCGCTTTCTGCGGGTGCTGCTCAGTGCTCCCGTGCGAGGAGAGGTGCTGGCTTGCCGCTGAGTAGGCCTTCTGTCAGGCATCATGGCCCGTTGCTGTGGGTGGAAGTTAATGGCACAGTAAGGTGCAGCCACCTCACACAGCAACCATCCCGTTTGTTTCCCCCCTGGCCTTGTGTCTGTCAGCAAGCATAGCTCAGACTTGAGCTGCCGATGTCTGGGTGCCAGGCCATCTCTACTGCTTCAGACAGTTGCTGAAGCCAAGTTGGAGAGAAGGAGCTTTTTTCTTGGTGCCAGGTGAAGAGCTTGCCGTTTGGATGGATGCTGGGAAGATCTTGGTGAGATAATATGGATCCAATCGCTGGCCTTTGCTTAGGGTTGCTGGGAGAGTGCCATTGTCACGGTTTCTTCGCTGGCCGGATCCCGATTGAGTTTCCTCAAGTACTGGCTGAGCTCTAAACACCTTTGCTGTCCCCAAGTCGTTTTACTTGGTGTCCTTTTGCACTCTGAATGATGATATTTCCTCCTTCTGCAGAGGTCTCCTAGAAGATGTCAGGTGGAAAAAAGCATTCTGAAACACTTTGCCCTCTAGGTGAAACCCAGTAGAGCTCAGCCTGTTTGAAGGGGGTTGCTGACCCCTTTTAGAGGAAATTTCAATTTTGTTTTTTAATCTTAAGCCACGGCATGCAGTAGAGATCCAAGATAGTGGCAACCCAGCAAAGTGCAAAGAAGGAGAGCATTTGGGATAACTAGGTCGCACAGTTTCTGATGGACCAATTAGTGAAGTGACAGCAAGCATGGTCTAATGTTTCTTTGCCCCTGTGTGCTGGTTTTGGCTGGGGTAGAGTTAATTTTCTTCACAGTAGCTAGTATGAGGCTATGTTTTGGATTTCTGCTGAAAACAGTGTTGATAATACAGGGATGTTCTAGTTACTGCTGAGCAGTGCTTACAAAGAGCCAAGGCTTTTTCTGCTTCTCACCCCACCCCACCAGCGAGTAGGCTGGGGATGCACAAGAAGTTGGGAGGGGACACAGCCGGGACAGCTGACCCCAACTGACCAAAGGGATATTCCATGACATATGACATCATGTTCAGCATATAAAGCTGGGGGAAGAAGAAGGAAGCGGGGGACGTTCGGAGTGATGCCGTTTGTCTTCCCAAGTAACCATTATGCATGATGGAGCCTTGCTTTCCTGGAGATGGCTGAACACCTGCCTGCCGATGGGAAGTAGTGAATGAATTCCTTGGTTTGCTTTGCTTGTGTGTGCGGCTTTTGCTTTGCCTATTAAACTGTCTTTATCTCAACCCATGAGTTTTCTCACTTTTACTCTTCTCATTCTCTCTCCCCTCCCACTGGTGGGGAGTGAGCGAGTGGTTGGCTGGTGCTTAGTTGCCAGCTGGGGTTAAACCACGACACCCTGATACCAGGCAGAGCAAGTGCTTTGGGTTATTATTTCTTGGAGCTGAGTTTCAGCATAGCTAACATTTGTGTGTACCTAAGAGCTCCTTAATAGGCTGCCTGCCTTAAGATAGTTTCCTTACACCTATGAAATGGCATTAGCTGCACTTGGAGTCACTTCAGTAAGTGTCCTGTGCACCTTTCATGGTATAATTCCTTAAGACTATCTTTTTTTTCCTTGTCTGCCACGCCATTTTCCCGTTAATGAGGATTTATTATATTTTCTTTTTGCTCACTAGGAGTTGAGAAAGTAATATATCGAGAGGTAGGATGTTGGGTGGTTGGGTTTTTTTTTTTATTTGGTGAGATGGACAGTTTGGGGATTGGGTTTGGTTGTTTTACAAATAAAGACCTCCAAACAGACAGGTACTGTCTTTGCTTTTGTTAATGGGTGAGGAGGAAAGGAAACCAAAGGCTAAAGTGTTTCCTGCTGTCTTCTGTGCCTCTTGCTGTTCTTGGTGTCCTTGGAAAGTTTTCTGCATGAAGATGCACGATCCCCTGTGTTAGAACACTTTATGTGAAAACTTGAATGCTGTTTCAAAACTGAACCCAAAACGTTCTCTTGTTGCATCTGATCCTCTAGAAGTTGCATGTACTATATCCCCCAGAAAAAGCAAGCCTGGTCTTCTGTCTCCAAGCTGAAATGCAGTACATCGCTCAAGTTTCAAGTGGGCTCAATTTGTTAGTTGCCTGAAAAAGGGATGCTAGCAGTTAACTTTTACCATAAATATTTTATTTTCCATTATCGCAGCATGGTAACACCACATGCCACTGAAACGACCAGAAAAGTCGGTAACCTTGAAGAGCCCACTTCCTCCAACATTCCAGATTCCGGGTCTCACTGACCTTGCAGAAGCTCTCCATGAAGTGGTGTCTGGGTGCCACAGGAAGTGGATCAAAGAGACCAATTCAGCTTATGTCAGGCTGGCAAAACAAGGAGGCCGACCTGGTGAGCGTCTGTCTCGCTTGTTTGTTTTTCCTTTGTTTTCTGTGGCTTTGCTTGAGTGTGGTGGTAGAAAGTGCTTGTAGATACTACAGAAGAATCCTCTGGAATTTTGAAATTAACTTATGGAAAAAATGTGACATAAGAGGTCACCTTGTCAAGACATCCTTGCAGTCTATTGTGTATAGGTACATTTCAGCAAAATGTGTAGTTTTGCACTGTATCTGATCTAAGTAGATGATGACGGTTTAGGTACCTTTTAGCAAAATGTGTAGTTTTGCACTCTATCTGATCTAAGTAGATGATGATGGTTTAGCTGCATTTGCGTGAGGTCTTTACAATTTATGCTTGGGCTATTTGAGTAGCGGTCTGATGAGAATGATTTTGTCACAAAAAAGCATAATCAGAAAACTTGGTAGAGGTTTGTAAAGTATTTTTTGTGATGGCATTCAGTTTGTTACTGTGCTGTACATACTCTGTTCTTGTACCAAGGTGATCTGTGGTTTTATTTCCTTTATCAAAGAAGGAAGCTTGAGGAACTTGAGCAGATGGCTTGCACGCATGCTTAGAGCAGGGTGACAAATCCAGAAATATGAATTAACAGACCTGTAGAAACATGTCAAAGCATTTAGAGCAAGATAAACAAGGTACAAGTGGAACACAATGCTGCAAGGTTCTGACTGTCCGTTTTACCAAGGGAGACAAATGCTGCTTACTTAATAAAGCAAGCATTTCTTCCTGATAAAACAGCAACCTGAAAACAAAGGTAATGCTTTTGCAACCAGATAAGAAGTCAGCGAAGTAGTGGCTTTTGTCTTTTTCTCTCAAGACCGACAGAAGCACTACATTCCTGTGACAAGGAGGTCCTTTCCAGCAGCATATGCTGCGCCTGACTGCTCCAATCCACCAGCGACCGATGAGCCATGGCAAGTCTGCTGAGACCCCGCATGGGTTCTCTTTTCACCTGTTAGTGTTTCGGAATATTTTTGTACTAAGTGCAAGATATGTGTATCCCTGGCACAAACAAGCGTTACATCTTTGCCTGCAGGAGCTCTCTTTGCTCTCTACCAGAATACATGATTCACAGAGAGTTTAAGGCTGATGTCCATCATGGTAATAGTTACAAGACAAGAAGAGGGCCTTTTGATTTTGAGATGTTTAGCAGCGGGATGCTGAGGACAAAGAAAACACAGAGAAAAAGAAGGTATGATGGAGAGGCACTCTGTGACGATCCTTTGTTTGTAGAGCTTGTGAAGACACTTCTAGCTGGGTCTGTGGGTTCTTATAGGAGGGAAGCTGTAGTCCACCCAAGTTTCTGTATTCCAGAAGCAATTTCTATATTGCAGTTAGAGCAGAAGCAATTTCTATATTGCAGTTAGAGAATAAGAAGAAAGTTGTGTTTCTCTTACGTGCTGCGGTATAGCGTAAGAACCAGAGATGCAGTTTCCAATCACATTATATGTTGCGTATACTTCAGCGTGAGTGAAAGCTAGTAGTTAGTTTCTATCTTCTTATGCTTTATTTCCCCTGCAATTCACTTCTGAAGAGAATTCTTGTTTCCTGATCTCTTGGGGGAGGAAGAAAGAAGGAAGAAGGAAGGAACGGAAGACTATTCCGAAAAAGGAGTTTATTTTAGTTTAAAATGCAAGAGAGCCCCTAAAGATACTGCACTAGCTGTCTTTGAATGGAAGATGTATCCAAGACAAAATAAGTATAGTATAAGCTATGCCCAGAACAAACCTTTCTGTGATGACCTTGGTGTTTTGTCCTGGAAACCTCTCTCCCATCCTCCCTATTTCATCCTCCCCACCCCTGCCCATTTTAGATGCTGAAGCCTTATGTTTTTTTAATATCCTCCATAGTCTTGGTTACCTCATTTACCATAGGTCTTTGGAGTATACATGGAATGGCATTTGATGTACTTGAACACCAGTACCTCCCTTCTTGAACAGAGGGGCAGATGTTGGACATTTTAGGAAAAAAAAGACCTTAGCCTTTTCTGAGATGAGTAACTAGTGCAAAATCAGAACGATGGCTTGTGTAAATGGGAACACCTAATTTCTGAATAGGCTTGGGAATGTTTACTTAATCTGTGGAAACAGGCAAACAATCAATGTATGCTTAAACTATAATTTGCCTGTTGCTTGCAGGTGAAGTCAGAGATTTAAGACACTGAAAATAGAAACTTAGCCTGCCTCGGAGCCTCTTAAAGGATCGAACTAGGACGGAGAGGAAGTGCTGTCACTTGCTCCCTTACTTAAGATCCAGTTATCTTCAGTGCTCTAAGAGTCAAACTTAACTTTGATAACAGTAAGTGTAATTCAAGTCCATGTGGTGACTGGTAAAGTGAGACTGAGGTCCATTTCTGTTTGGGGGGAGTTTGATCAAGACCCAGTTATGCTAGCCTGTCTCATTTAATACCAAGAAAAGAAAGACGACCTTCAAAACTGCATGAGACTTGCTAGCAGCCTTTAAGTCTTTTCTTTCCTTTCCTCTTTTTTTTCTTGACTTTAGTTTTGACACTTGGGCCTATATCTATCTCTAGACAAAATCTCTCTAGGCTCCCCCCCAGCCCTTTAATTAACTCTTTAATTACTAGACTTCCTTTTCTAATGCTTCTCTTCAATGCCAAAAGGAGAGTCTCATCTCTTTCCATCTACTATTTATATACCCTGCCTATCAAATCAGTTTTTTTCTGTGTTGCCCTGTGTGCCATCATGTCTTCAATATGTGACAAAAGTTACCTGAGTTTGATGATTTCTACTTGTCTAATTAAATTGTTTTTGTCAGTTGAAACTGTAGGTAACTGTGTCCTGGATCTGAAACTTCCATGGTATGTCAGATCTGAAATGGTACAGTTTAATGATAGACAGAAAACAGCACTATCATTTTTTGCACAATAGGATAGCATTTTTGAAATGTAAAGCGCAAATAGGCTGCTTCAGCACAGAATAGTGTTAACGGATTTGAAAAGCAGTTCTAAGCAGCTAACGCATTTTTTAACCTCCAGGTTGGACAACAGACCCCCCTCTTCATCCGACATCACTGCCTCTGACATCACTGCATGCTCTTGCTAGTATCATCTCTTCTTCTTTCACAAATGTCCCAGTTTTTCATCTCTAAGCTTCGACATAACATCAGTCAGGCTGAAATCTAGTAGCCCATCCACTTATTCTTTATCAGATTCTGGAACTTTTCTTATGATGAAACTGACTCCACTGAAGTCTGTAGGGATTTCAGCACTGCCTTAACACGTTGGTTTGCATTGACGTCTGTTTCACAATCAGTAGAACTGTCTGTCCTAAGCTTCACTTTCTCCCTGAAAATAAGAAAACTTACACTCTCCGAACGTTCAGGTCTGCTTCTTTTAGTGGCTTGTTAATTAGTTCACTGATTAGATGTATTCAAATGCTATTACACTTTTCTTTGGTCTTTCCATACTAATGTGCATGGGCTCCTTGAGAAGTCCATGGTATGTTTACATCTATTTTTGAATCTTCTCCTCATGGATGTTTTCATGGGAGTTGTTTTGTAGTGTCTGCAATCCAAGTGCAACTGCTGCTGATGCATCTGATTTTTGTACTCTGTTCATAATTTTTTGCTCTGTTAACTGTATTGCAGTAGGTACGTCCACATAGGTGAAAAGTATCTTTATCCTTAATGTACTTTTACAGAGCAGTACATTTCACTTCTAGTTAACCTCTCCTGATTTTTTTAAAATAAGCTGCAAGTAATATCTCTCATCCTATGGGGCACTCTCCTGTGTTGCGTGTTTAAAAGAGAAAATGGTCAAATAATATGTAAGTTCTAATTAAAAGGATATGTTAGTATAACACAAAAACTTTGTTAATAAGCTTTGAAATCTTGGTGCTATCTTCAGGACTTTTTTTTGTGGATATGTGTATGGACTTCGTGCATCCTTACTGCTACTAAACTTGCTACCATGTGTGATACTAAAATAGTTTTACAAACAACTAAAATAATAGCACTTTAACTCATATAGGAAAGCTATTCAATATAACTTTGCTTTAGGAACAATAAGCATACAGTTGCATGTCTTCATGTAGCACACTTTTATTGTATTCTAAATTGTCTGGTTTTTTTCTCCATACCAGTGAACAGATGCAAACGATAATGTACATTGTTAGTTCTGTAAGCATAGGTTACAGAGACACAAGTAGGACTACCATTTTAAGAAAACACATAAACTGTAGCCTACGTAAGGTCAGGTATGGCAAAAATACTGTAATGAACACCTGGAAGATAATAGTCTTTTAAGCAAATTATTATATCACCTGTGATGTAATCACATCATCAGCTGTGTACACAACTGAATTATTTCTGCGTACTTTGTCTTAAAAATTGATTACACAGTAATCCCAGTATGTTTTAGAAATATGTTAACGATGCAAAATAAGTGATTAAACTGTTTAATGAACTTAAGAGCAAATCTGTGACAAAGTTTCACCTTTGTGCAGCACAGAATGACTATTGTCAGCCTTTTTTACTTACACATTCTTTGTGTGATTTCCCTTTTTCACTTTTTCATCTCTAAGACCAGAACTGTGTAAGTATTATACATTTAAAGTTCCAATAAAATGGATGGCTCTTCTCATGTAAAATTACACATTACCTAATCAGGCGTAATTGTGTGCTTTGGGGTTTTTTTTGTTTTGTTTTTGTTTTTTTCTTAGATGATTACATGTAGAATATATGTTTATTTGCTTAGAAATAAATTATATTATAAGGCTGTTGACCTTTCTGTGCAAAATAAAATTTTCCCACCTAATCCTCATTTTTGTTTATTTATGCTATTGTTTTCCTTAATATATTTGGATTTAAAGGCCTGCTCAGAGAAAAAGCGAAGCAGTAAACTTTAGCAAATTAATTAGCAATGGTTATGGGACTGACTGGTTTCAGCAGTGTACTGGATGGGAAAAAAAGATTCAAGAAACATCAGAAAATAGTGAGCAGTCCAAAGGTAAAATTATTGAAAGCTGTTTCTTTTAAAGTGAGTTGGGATGTCACAGTAACAGCAGAGGGTAGCCTGAATAATTTATGTGGCTCTCTTTGAATATGGTGAGACTTACTGAATTACTATGCTTAGCTTACAATACCCTATGACCAGCTAAAGAAAAGACTGGTCCTGTTTGTAGTCAGCAAAGGCAGGGGCTTTCATGGATTTTTTCATCTTTAGAATTGCAGAAACATTCTCTGGTCCGATCCAAGGGCTTCTGTGTGACGTGTTTTCGTAAAATGCTGCAGAGACATAGCCGTCCTCCTGACTAAATTGAAGCAGAACATAAAATATTTGTTGCCTATTTGTTGTGAATAGTCTTTGGCCCCTAATATTTTTCTGAAAACTTCTGTGACAAGTATCATTAATACTCGTGTTTAAGAAATAGATCACTGTTCATAAAAATTTGTCAAAATAAATATATGTGCATTGTTGAAGATAGTGGCATTACAACAGTTTTATTAGAGACAAAAGAAGTTATCCAATGTTTACCTATGATTTCAAACCTTACTTTGTCACACACAATGGTAATAGCCATGAAAGACATCACTCGAAAACACTTGGATATGAAGATTAAAGGGCAGAAAATTCCCCTTACTTCTGTCAAAGACCTTTTGCTTAGGCTTTTTACAGTGGCTTGGTAACCATGGTGGGTATATCAGTTTTTATAGCAACCTTTTAAAATGCTGTTGAACATACACATTGCAAGCTCCAGAATTTAATTTTTTTTTATTTGTATCAGTGAACGCTTGTGTATACACTGGGGATTGCCATGATTCCCTTGACCTTAATATATCAATGTGTGAAAGTCTTAGAGGCCACTTAATTTAGTTTCTGTGACACTTTAGCAGTTCCTGAATTCATCTTTGTGTCTTCCATTAATATATCTACAGTAATTTTTTGTGTGTGTGTGTATGTGCAGAACCTCTTCCTCCAGTATCAGAAGAAAACAGGCAAACAGAAAACCAGAAGTTGTGTGTAATTGTTCAGAAGAAAAACTGCTATAAAACTATGGGATGAAGCCAGATCTCGATCTGGACCTGAAAGAGGATGCATAACCTGAGAAGCCACTCTTCAAAGTCACCTTAAGTATCCAAACTCTGAACATGCAGAGGATGCTGCCTTGGGAGGCTCAGTGACCTAACAGTTCAACTGTGGAGCCTAAAAGTGCTCTTTCTTAGCATGAAAGAAAACCTTATATCTTCTTTTGTCAGATTCTATTTAACTTTATTGTGCACTGACATTTTTCTTTTCCATTACTGTGAGGAAAATGAAAGGATTTGAGATTTTTTGAAACCTCAAATTCATTCATTTGGTGATAGCTGATTTCTTTAATGTGAAGTGTGCCTCTAATGGGACATTTTGGATATAAAGAAAGCTGAGGATTTTTCAGAGTAATCATGATATTGGTTTGGTTATACCACTTATGCATAGAGAACAAAATGATGGGTATACTGAAAGGCTGCTGAAAAGTCAGTATGCTGCATAGTTTGAGATATATATAAAAGATACATCTTATTTTTGAGATGCTTTTCTTTCACAAATTCTTAGATAATATGACACCTGCTTTGCTTGTATTGCTCCTCCATAGCTATTCCGATTGAGATTAATTCTGTATCTCAATGTAAAAGGAGATTTTTTTTTTTTAATGCTCCTTACAGTATGGTTTCATCCAGACATGTACCTTGATTCAGTTTTGACCATGTCCTTTTCATTCTTTCAGGTATGCACTGAAGGTAGTGCTTGTATTTTCTTCGGACTTGGGTACTCTTGTATGCACATCCAAAGCAATTGGCAGCATTAGCACCTTGCAACTCCCTTTTGAGATGGAGCTTTCTCCATTATCTCTTGCGCAGAACAAGTCCAAGACATGTCAGACAGGAGATATAACCCTGTTCCATGTGTAAATCTATAACCCATTTGTGTTGGGTTATATATTTGCATCATACTGCAAACTTTGTAGATAGTTTGTCTATCTTGTTAGTTAAAAATTAAAAGTCCTGGAATTTGTATGCATTTTGATGTGAGAAAGAAACTGAAAATTTTAGTTGACCTTTTTATTCTTATGGTTGAAGATATCCTAAGAACTTTAATCTTTTTTTATTGCAGATTCAGAGCCATCACAGTCTGAATCAGCACTTGCAAGCAATGAGTCAAAGCCACCGTTTCAGGGATGTAATAAGTAACTTAAAAGACTATTGGGGAAAGTAAAGCCTTATATGGCTTATATAGTCCACTATTTACATGTTTGTTAGACTACTTTTTATAGTTGAACTCATCCCTGATTGAGAAATTAATTTGGTTTATAATATGGATGAACTTCATTGTGCTTGATTACAGCAAATTTTAAAGAACAGGCAACAGCTGTCAGTGCATATTCCTAGACTTTTTCTTAATATAATAAAAAAAATAAAGCAAAACTGAAGTTCTCTCCTACACCAGACTAGTGCTCCTTTGCTGTTGTCAAATCGGGTTACCATATCACTGCTGATTTGACTAGACACAGGCATGATATCAATGTGTCCAAACCAGGAAGTTTCTTCATTTAACTGCACTTATACTCATGATGTTATGCCATAAAGAGAGGTGAAGGGGAACTGTATGATATGGGATGAAATGTGAATAGGAAGAATTGAACTGGTATGGATACTTGCAGTGAAAAAGTCAAGCCTTCACTGCAAAGATGGCTTCTTAGTCCCAAAAGCATATTTATTTAGACCAGATATTCAGCTTTCTAGGACAATTCTATTGCTATGCCTGCTGCACAAGAACCAGTTGATCAGTCATAGTGTTCAGCCACAAAATTAAATTAAGACCTGGTGGCATTTCCTGTTATAGTTTTGTTATATAGAAGATGAATCATTGGGTAACAGTGGTGTGGACTAACTAAGAAGTGATGTCTTCACTTTCAGCTGTTAAATAAAAATTTTATTTATCCTGAAGTTTTGACTGCAACAAAAATATTATATGCTAGATCTCTGTGTTTATTCACACCAGCAAAACAGTTTGTACTTTGAAATAGCAATGTATATAAATTATTTTAATATTTTGAAAAAGATACACTTGCTGTTTTAACACTTGCTCTTTTATCTACTTGAATTAGGATATATCCCTGAAATCTTATGAATAATTAAATATTTATTATAAAGCCCATTAGAACGTGGATGCAATTTCAATAAGATATTTTTGCTAATACTACGAAAAGTGAAGTTTTTAGTAAGTAAAACGGTAATTTTTAGTTTCCTTTTCAGAGCGCACTCAGTACATTGTACACCTTTGAATCAAGAGCTGAAGATTTTAAAATGTATTACTGAATATACATTTCTTAGAACAGAATGTTTAGAGGACTTGGCTTAACAGTGCTTTTCTTTATAACTTTGATATGAAAATTTATTGGAAATAGGTAAACGTACTGCTAATCTGAACCCTCAAATTTTCAGTGAAAGTTTGTGGAAGTTTTGCTGGTGATGTTGTTGGACCCAGCATCTGAGTCCATCTTTGCTGTTCATTCTAACCAATAATTCAACTGTCTAAATTGTATTTACAAAAATAAAAGGCTAAAACATATGAGAATACCTAAATGTACAGTTATTGGTTAGTCAGCAAAATTTTCCAAATATAAAAAAGCTTACATCAAGCTGTATCTGAGAGGGGAAAAAAAAAATTACTACTTTATGTCTGTTTTCACTTACAATTTGTATTGTGGATTACATTCAGATATATTGAAACCATTAATTTTGCTGTGAAAGCAAAGCTTTTGGTAAAATCTACTTTTCTAGGCTAGAGTACCAGGGAATGCTAGAGCTGGAGCTCGTAGTATTAAAACCTGACCAGTAGAAAAACTGTCACCTGTCATTATAGAGAAGCACTAAAGAATAAGCTTTTGTTAAGAAATAGTGTATGTATAACAGGCAAATTGTTGATACCCTTAGGATTTCAACTACAAAATTTTACACCCACCAATGGTAAACTGCAACAGTAAAATAAGTTCTGTGTATGACAGCCTTTGTAGCGTACTTTAAGGTTATAACTATCAACAGTAGTACTACTTTTCAGTCTCACTTTGATCTTCTGACTCCTATTATTGTAGGAAAAACTTCTTTTGTGAATGCTATTTGCAGTTACATGCTTTACTGGCCAAAACATAAAAGAAAGGGGAAATACGAGATGATGATGAAACTCTCTGGAGTTAAGTTGCTTAATGGTAAGGCAGCCAAGCGTTTTTTTTAATGCTCATCAGTTGAGTAAGAAGTTTTTTTTATTCTTAAGCATATATTAAATCTATTTCAATCTCTTTTTTGTAGAAAGTTTTCTGAAAGGTGTTTAGTACAAATTTACTGAAAAAGTTGGAGACAGTAATGTCATGACCAAAAAAAAACCCCAACCAACTAGCATGGGTATTTACAAATTTACTGTTCACACAGACCTGAAGGTGCTTGCTGTGCCAAAGCCCTCAAAATCTATTCCATAAAGTAAGAATTGCTGTGTGGCTGCAGTACTGCTGACCTGCAAACAAGAATTCTAATAATTCTTTTCTATATTATTGTCTCTTTTTCTCATTAAGATCTGTACAAATCTTCCTAAAGTAACGTCATTACTTTAAGTTGTTTGATGTCTAAATCCTCTTCACTTTTGAATACTTTTTCCTCAGTACTGGAGTTCTTGTCCAAAACTTGTCACATTTTTAGGCAATTGTTAGAGGCAGAGACAGAAAGACAACTGAGATCCTAACGTCGTCACTCAGCACTGTTATTTTGCTTTACTGTAGTTGTGTTGTTAGCAGTGTTTATAGTGCTGGTTTTCAGATATTTTAAAAGTGTATACCATATCCTATTGTAAAAATTGTCTCTTTTTACCTTGGTCACCATTAGGTAATATCCACATGACATTCCTCAAATTCTTAAAAGTTTGCTAATGTGCCATTAATGTATACTCAGCTTTCCTTAGTCACGCCAAGGAGATGTTTGATCTGCACTGTCAGTCAACTGAGTCTTCATGGATCACAGTTTGAATACCATGACTTAGAATATTAACAGCCTAAGATTTATCTTTATAAGAGCCAGTGGAGAACGCTGGAATTTGTGTTTGTGCATTCAGAATAATGGAGAGCTGCAGCAGAAGCATAACTTGCCAGTTCTCCCAGGGACATGAAATCAAAGTAGTGTAACAAATCAAAAAGCTCCAACTAAATTCAAGGATGGAAATGTGTTGTTTGAGTTCATCTTACCCCAGTAATTATGTTGTTTTATTTACTTCTGAGTCAATGCAGTCATCCAACTGGCAGTTTTCAAAGTCATCAGCAGTTCTGTGTAAAAGCAGTGGAAGTTTCTGGGTCTGGAAGGGGTTTCAATGTTTGTTTTTCAGAGAGATGCTGAAGTCAAAAGCTGGGCACTTACTTACAAAATCTAGCCTTATTGTTTTAAATGCTGAAATGTTTATTTAGTTGTATTGTGCTCCATCTCTGACCTGAATGCCTTTAAGTAATAAGTGAGAGAATTTCTTTTTTTTGAATACTGGTTGCTTTGCAAGCCCAAAGATAAAACAAAAGCGCAGTTACATTTTATGAATTACATCCAAGTGTACTGAATATGTGAATATTTTCAAAAGAGAATTCCAGATACAGATTTAAAAATAACTTGGCAGTTTAGGTACTGAAGAGTAATTTTCCTTTTACATGCAACCATTAGCAAAGTCCAATGACTGTTTTCATTTTAATGTGACCGAATATATACTTCTTTCTTACCACTTATGTATTTTTAGACTAGACTAAAATATAAACATGTTTTCAGAGATCAAGGCTGTATATACATTCTTTGTGTAGCAATGCAAACAGAAATTGAATTACCCGTGCATTTCTTAAGCATCTGAAATTTCATGGACTTCAGCATATCTATTTCTCAAACACTTATATCTGCGCTGAACATGCAGACTTAGTTGTAAAAGATGTAGGATGAAGCTCAATTTTTTTCCGTAAACAAGTAGCCTAATATTCTGCTTTTGCAGTTCTGTGCAGATTATTTTTCAGAATGTAGTTACATATTATGCTACAGCCTGGAAAAAAGCTTGAAATAGAAATATAGAAGTCCAGTCTTAGCACGTTTTGTCCTCCTATTAATAGTTTTAATGATACTAAACATCCAGATGACTGAAGAATCAAAATGAAGTAGGTAAGTGTCTGAACAGCTGCACTGAATTATTTGACCAACTGACTATAAAAATGGTATATGGTGAGCAGAAAGAAGTATACTTTTGATTATAAAAGGACAGACAGCCTCACTTTCCATAGATGCAAGTTTTCATCCATGCAATATAAAAATCTGAAAAGTGAGGCCAGTTGCAGGTTTTGTAATTTATTGTTGTAATAATCCCAGTATGTAGTTGTGTATTTTTCACTTTTCTAAAATAACATTTATTAACGTATTTTCTATTTTTACTTAAGAGGTATTTTTCCCACTAATATACAAAATGAAACGAAAACCCAAAAATTAGAAAAAGAGGAAGTTTAAAATGAATTTAAATTTTAAAAAAGTTTTCTAGAGATGACTGAGCAAAGGTTACTACCAATTATTAGACTCACAGAGATGCACTATCTATTGAATATTTCAGACAAGGTAACTATAGAAACCCGATTACTCTTTATTTACAAAAGAAGTAATTTACATTGATTATTCTCTTAATACATAGCTGAATGACAAACCTCCTGAAAACCAAAGCAGATTTTTCAGTGGACCCCGAGATGAAAGGGTAGGTAGTATTCCTGTTTAAAGGAAAAGTTTCTTCCACAGAATTAAAATACTATTCTAAGGTGCTATTTTGGATTGTCCACTACCATAGTTTTCAAGTGTTGACAAATATTAAACGAACAGAAAAACGGAAGATGCATTAGGAGACTGTGCTTCTATTTTACCTATTAGAGATTTAAACAAGTTGAACAGGTGACATTTTTCTTAGTTTGTTGAGCAATTTCTCTTGTATGCCGTTCATAGCTAGAAACACATCTGTGTGCAGGGGATTTCTCTCTCTTATATTCCCATACAAAGTCCTTTGGTGTGAGACAAGATATTAAGAGATTTTACTCTAAATGCCCAATACATGATTTTATAATAAATACATCTTCGCAATGTCTTGTGCCCAATGTGTTTACCCTTCTGATGTACAGACGGTTATGTACCAAG